TGTTTGCCACGTGGTTTTGCCGATTGTCCCCGAAGGTGAAATTTCGCAAGAGGAGTTCGTCGTTCCTTGGTATTGGTTTTGCATGTTTGAAGCTGCGCTCAGCTGCACTCTTTCTACATGTCTGCGGATTGTCAACCTCGGGCAGGGTCGACGTTTCGTCATTCTCCGGCGATGTGTTTTTTTCAGCTCAGGATGGTGTGCTGCAGATGGTTGTACGTGATGTGCCTGCTGAAACCATGAGATCCCTGGCGGCGATCGACACCGTTGTCGGTGAGAAAGGCTTCTCTATGCAGCAAGTCATATCAAAAGATTAGGCAAGGAGCTCGTTAGGCCGGTGTACAGGAATGCTACTTTACGACTCAGACCTTCAGGGTATGACGCACGCATAGCATGGAAGCAGCTATTGAAGAGTGGACCTAGGAATCATGAAGCTTCTTCAATCTGTGCATCGTACAGTGCACTGCTTGAATGATTCGCTGCTTGGCCAAGATGCCGTCTCTATCACTTGAAAACCAGTCAGACAAATGTAAGCGCAGAAGACACTCAGATGGATTGCTTATATGTTTACATCCTATGTAGCTTAATTCTATTGGTCTTCAAGGCGTTCAACAATACCAAGACGGAAGAACACAGGCCTTGATCCAGTTAAGTGAGTGCACCTGGCCAGCCCGATAACATGGTGGCCAAGGTACAGCACGATGCTGAGCCAAGCGGAAATGACCTCCTGTTTGTGAGTCGATGTGGAACCGGGGTGTGACCCTCAGTTAGATAGGAAAAGTAGCGTGACGAAATGCATAGTCTGCAGAACAAGAAGATGTCTGGATTATGGAGGTTGAAGGGTGTTGAAGGGTGTGTGAATTGAGAAAATCAACCCAAGCCCAGTCAAGCTGAAACATGTGGGCACGCTAATGTCAGCGCGCCAAACGACACTGTACCTCGAAGAATGAGCCGTCAAAGATGGCTTGGCACCGAGGCATGCGCCGGTTTGGGAAAGCAGGAAAGTTTTTTGCAAATGATTGCTTTCCATGTGGGTTGAAGAATCCGTTTGAAAACATCATTCGTTTTTTGTTTCTTGCTTTTGCCAGACCTACTAAGAGACATGCCCCAGAACCGCACGACGATGACAAAAACGTCAGCTGCTGGCCGAGGTGAAGAGCACCTAAGATCGCCTATTTTTCATTCATTTGCAATTTGCAAAGCAAGAAGGTTTCATTTGCTTTGTGAAGTAGAATATAAACACTATATAATGTTATATGTGCTTCATTGTTTTCCTCCAAACCATTGAAGCCATGCACCGAGCAATACTGAGCAGAGCACCTGGAGCACCTGTAGTGGTGTTAGTTCTTCGATTCATCAAGTCCCTCTTTGCTGTGAGAGTTCATTGGGTTGTGGAGACCTCCTCTTGATGAGTCAGGTGAAATCTATATAGTACCCCTGTTTGTGGTTCGACTGTTAGAGCCGTGGTCTGGTTTTGTTTGCGGATTCTGGTTCTGGGGTTAGCCAGCTCAGCTCGTTTTCGAGCAAGCCACCGTCAGTGGAAAGGTACAAACTCCCCAGGTACACCATCAAGCTCTCACCGCCACGCTGTACAACTCCCCAGTCCCTATGAGTTCGATCCGGTGCTGTTCACCGGTCTGGATCACTGGGAAAAGGCGTCACTGGTGGGTCAGATTCTCCGCGCCCCTGAATCGGGTCCTGTCGGGTCCGGTCCGGCGATCGGTTCCGGTGCTTTCGGTTGGAGACCGGCGAGGTCCATGCTGCAGAGCTCACCTCGCTCTATTGGGCAGCTCTGAGTGCGGCACGCCCCGGTGGCTGCACGAGAGTTGTTTGGGTCTGGTTTTCTTTTCTCAGTCCAGAAGTGGCTAGCCACTTCTTAGGTTGCCCACACAATGCTTGCTTTCCATGTTCGATGAACATGGGGCAGACATATGCAGAACTGGTATGAAATGGTGGTTCAATGATCATCATGTGCTTCTCTTTGGCCGAGCATCATGGTGTGAACTCAAGATAGAGTTTTCAACCCTGAAAGGGCCCTGTACCAATTTGCCCAGTGGCACATGAGAGATCTTGTTGGCATTCAGGGATATGACAAGTGAAAGTCAATGTCGTAAAGGTTGTAAGGTTTTGAAGAGGCTTTACGCTGAACCGAGGCTTAGTCGCCACATTGGTCACTCCATATGTGCAGCTTGTCCAACAAAAAGAGTTGTCAAGACAAACTTTAAGTTAAAACTTGTACTGTAACACTCGACGTGCCCTCGAGTTCACAGCCCACCTGTTTTGGGGTGTTCTGCTGGTGCTGTCCAGCTCCAGACCTGCTTCACCCGTGGTCCATCTCACGGTATCACTAGGGGAAGATGCAGACCCATATTTTGAGAAGATGGACATTCCTGTGAAAAAAAATAAACATTTGAAGAGGTGGTGACAACTTGGGTGGTGTCGTATCATAGCAGTCTATGTAGCCTACAGGAGGCAAACATGTTGCTCCATGGGATGCCTTGTGCTAAGGAATCACTACCGCAACTTGCCGGCAAGAAACGGAAACGGTAGAAACAATTGACCTGGCTGCATCTATTCCCATTATATGCCCATGCAGCAGTTTTGCAAATTAGGAACATCACAGCAGTAAATAGTAGCTCTTTCTATGATATAAGCTGGTCCTTTGGCTTTCTTTGTGTTCTGAGGCTACATTCAGCTGCACTTACTTCTGGCTTGGACTTCAATGTTTGCCTTCAGCTTTGGTGGCGTCAAGATGATAGCTGCTTGGAGACACTGAGCAAGAAATATATCAACCTAGAATTTGGATGCACTACAGCTCCATTTAGGTTGGGAAGGTATTGAAATTACCAAAAACGAGACGGTCTGATGTTCTCCTCGTTGGAGTGCTCATTTTGTGCCAAAGCGTTTGACAGGCGTTGACCCGGTTTTCGAGATCTCGCGCAAGTCGTTGGGAGCGGCCTGGGATTCCCGTTTGTTGCACTCTTCATCCAAGAACTAAGACCACCCCGCCATCTAGAAAAACGTCCAGACTAACACATAGAGGCCCTCCGGCGTGAAAGAGGCGCCGGGAAAACTGCCATCGACCACCCCGCGGGTAGTAGATAGCAGGCGGCCACGTAAAGCAGGATAGTCCAACTCTCAGGGCGTTCGTGGAATTCAGTTGGGTTGGGTTGGTGGAAAGCTTCCAGCTGCTTCGATCAATGCTCAGGTGCTTTCCACCTTCCTCTATGGATTTGCACTGGGGCCTCTTTTCCCTGGTGCTCTGCTCGTTGCAGAGGCTGGTGGCTGCACATGCTGCAAATATCAAAAGCTGCAGGTTTTGCCTCTTCCTTGAGTCTACATTGTTCATAGCTGCTCAGGCTGACCAAGAGTACCAGGTCACCTTTGGGAGACTACACAAAGCACATCAAACCGCCACTTCTCCGAAGGTCCATGACTCACCTAAAGGTTCTAACGCCCACTTGTAACCCCAGTCACCAAACACTACGAGGGCTGTGCTTCACCCTGTGGAGTTCTCCGATAGGGTCTTTCCGTTGATTTTTGCCGACCAAGAAGGGCGCAGAGAACAACACAGATATAGCCGATGGTAATTTTGCGATGTTTCAAAGACTCTGGAGTCCCAGATTGACGAGACGGACGAGACGGACTAAACCTCAGACACCCTTCCTTGTCTCTAGCCACTCATGAGCCTTCAGGAGAAGTTAGCCCCTGAGCCTTTGGATGGGAGAGCTGCAGGCCGAATCGTGTGTTCGGACTCAGAGAGTCCAGTTCGATCAAAGATGGGGGTCCTACACTGTGACAGTGATGTGACATTCCGACGACTAAACAGATTTATATACTCTTATCCCGTGTGTGTGTGTGTGTGTGAGTCACCATGGTGGCTGACAAAGAACACAAAAATAGTTCAGAGAACAAGACTGCCGCAAGCTGCTGGGTGAAACAGGATTTACAGTGGCATGTGCCGCGCTGGGAGAAACTTGGATGCAAAGAATTTGTTGTCCTGGAACCTGGCAGCATTTGAAACTCCAGTTGATGTGGCTGAAAGAAGTGGCCTCCGATGCCCTGAGGAAATGTTGCTGCCCTTGCTGACAGGTCTTTGTTTCGATGTCGACCACGCTTCATTTGGGCCTGTGCAGCTTCTCGGACAGTCTGTGATCTTCACTGTTCCCACATTTTGGATGAATTTGAGATCCCCTGAGACTCATGTTCAAGTCACATGTCTTTTTAATCAAGATACAGTTTAGAATCATCCGGGAAGTTGCACGGCAGTAAATATGCTTTTGGGAGGCAATAGTGGAAGTCTTGGGGAGGCTTGAGCCAAGTGTCAGCTCACCTCGTGCAGCCTGTGTGTATCGCCTGTTTCTTACCTTTAACACCCTTCAACCGGCCCAGAACCTGGGGCGATGATGCTGAGGTTGGCCATTTGCAGCAGCACGCTGTTGATCTTTGCAGCTGTTTGAGGCGCTTCCATGGCAGCTCCAGGCGCTGCATACGGTGAAGCAGCCGAAAGATCTCCTGAGTGTCAATGACTGAGAAATCGTAGGTTCTGTGATGCGCCATCGTGTGGCAGTTGTTCATGGCAATTACTCACATGCACAACATGGCCTCCCACTCTCTGCTGGGGTCGCGGCATCTTTCGCCCAGCTTGGGGCGGAGTTTCTCTTGCCCTGGGATTGGCATTGGCACCGGTGAAAAGCGGCCGTTTGCTCGCTGTCATGGTTTTGGGGTCGTCTTCGTTTGACTAAATGAGGCGCTGTCGATGGCGCACGGTTCACAGTGGATGTGGCCTTAGAAGTGGTTTAGCAAGAAAGAGTCCATCCTGAGCTGGGAAGCTACCTTTGTGGGCTGAATCTTAACATGTTGGGTCAACATCCACCACGAGACTATTCATGGTTCCACGGAGTGTTTACCTACAGTTTGACTCATCCATTTGCAGGCCGTGCTCAGTGAGCATGGCGCCGGTTCCTTCCTTTGCTGTTCGCTGCCCTATGTGAAAAACCGAGGCAACTCCTGACCGTGGACTCGATCACACCCAACTCGGGCTCCCTTGGAGGTGTTAAGGCCCGAAGGAAGGGGCCGAAGGGGCAGTCACCCGCCGCGATCGCGGCACGAGTGGAGGGGTGATGATGGTGATGTTCGCCCTTTTGTTCAGGTTTAAAAAAAGTTAAACACTGAGTTGGTTCGGGTGCGACAGACATCCTCTTCACAGAAAGAAATGGAGCCTGCTCTTGATGCTCGGGGTGCCGAACCGGTGCTGTGCCGCGCCTCGCCGGATGATCCGAAGCGCCGGGACCGGTGGGAGCGAACCGGGCGGGTCGCAGGTGACCCTGAGCGGCAAAGGCTTCGCCACCAATCCCTTGCGGCATTTCATCCGTGGGCAGTCTCAGCTTTGCCAGATGTTTGACCTGCGGTTATAGTCATACCGCTCAGTTGGCAGTTGACTTGTTCACCTTGCAAACAGTATGCACTCCAAGAACTTTCAAGATTTAAAGTAGATAAGAAAGACCTCAGTTCCGTGCACATGTTGCTTGAGCCAGCCTCAATCATGGTTGCATGTTTATGATGAGGAACTGCACGGGTCTCAAAAGAAAGCCGTTGTTCTAACCAGGGACCTGATTTTTGTTCACAGTTTGCTCAGTGCAGCTCATGACTTGCTCCTTGAAGCCAGATTCTCATTTGGCCTTCGCCAAGGTGTGGGAAGCAACTACTGGGGCGTTTGCGAACCACTCTATTCCGACTACTACTCGATTAGCTGCAGCCCGGACTTCTTCGGGTGAAACACTCGGCAGACTGGGCGAGGAGTGCAGCGGCCAGTCCCGCAAGGGCGCAAGGCGAGTTGGATTCCCAACATAGAGAGTAGCAGGTTCGGATCGGTACGGCCAACATAGCAGGTGACAGTTGCTACCTGCACGTCCTACGTCAAAGGATCATTTGGTATCCCCAATAATATCCAATTATGAGTAAGTTGGGTCGGTGTGACATGCTTCGTTTCAATACTCTGAATTACTTTTCTGTGGTGGTAAGAGGTCAAAGCAAAGATAAGAAAGGTGCAATGATTCCTGAGAAATGCCTGAAAAGAGTGTGCAATGATGGAGACAGACATGTTTGCAGGTGTGTGCAGATGTACACCATATACTGCCATCTACCATTCAGTTTGGGGAAGGTAGGACACTGCTCTAGGCATCCAACTGCTCTAGGGCATCCTCAGACTCCGCAACAAACCGCAAAAAGAAGTCCTAGGTATGCTGAACTACAAGGACGACGACGAGGCTCTTGGATGAACTACAACGGGCAGGAAAAGGACGATCGAACCATTTGGGTTAATCAACATAGCCCCGACTTCTATACGCTTGAACTGCTCATTGTTTGGACAACAAGAGTGCGGTCCTAGTTGCTTGATTGCATTTTTCCCCACCTGCCAGGTGAGGGTTGTTAGATTTTATCACAGCTGTTCTTCCTCCGCCTCCGCCTCCGCCTCCGCCTCCGCCTCCGCCTCCGCCTCC